ATCCATCCATCCATCATCCATCCATCATCCATCCATCCATCCATCATCCATCCATCATCCATCCATCCTCCATCCATCCATCATCCATCATCCATGCCTCCATCCCTCCAGGATTTCCCCCAGGGTCAGGAACAGGAGGTGTTGCAGGACCATTTGTGCTGTCAGTGATTGTCCCTCGCTGTGTCACCATCCCTGGGGTGAGCCCTGTCCCCACCTCCCAGGCTCCCACACGAGGCCAGGCCTGTCCAGCAGCACTTTTTTCAGGAACACATCTGTAGGGTCACTGTGATCTGGAGCAAAGCCCAGAACAGGCTCTCCAAAGCAAGGAAACCCCGGGGGATCATGGAAACCATTGGCTTAGAGCTCCTCTCACCCAGGGCAGGGCGTGGTGGCCTCTGTGACCCCACATTGCCCATGCCAGCTCCTGGCACTGCAGCAGCTCCCTGGGATGAGCCCCCGGGTGCAGGAGGAGCCCCCAGTGATGCCCCTGTGACCGAGGAGCACGCCCGGGGCCCTGCACAGGGAATTTCGGGATGAGTCCCGGGGTGCTGAGCTCACTCAGGGGCAGCCCTGGCTCCCCCCAGGCTCCCGGACCGGGACAGCTTTGGAGAGGGGGTGGCCAAGGTGGGAACATCGCTGTGCCCGTAATTAGCTCCTAATTAACACGGCTTGAATCCGAGGCGATTTCTCTGCCCTCGGAGCGCTCCGCTCGTCAGCAGAGGCTCCGGAATTCCCTGTGTGCTGATCCTCCCTGTGCCCGACGGCCGGGACACAGCCTGGCATCCCTGGCACGGGAACCGGAACCGGGATGGGCACTGCCAGGTGAGCACTGCCAGGGGGAAGGGGGGCACTGCCAGGGGGAAGGGGGGCTTTTCTAGAATGGAAATACGAAATGATGAATGAAATACGATTAAAATATGGGGTGAAATATGGGCATTGCCAGAATGGCAAGTGGGCACTTCCAGGGGAACTGTGCTGGGCTCTGCCAGAATGGAAGTTGAGCTCTGCAAGGAGGAGGGCACTGCCAAGGGGAAGGAGGGCACTGCCAAGGGGAAGGAGAGCACTGCCAGGTGGGTTCAGACAAGTGGGCAGTGCCAGGGGAAAGGTGGACTTTTCTAGAATGGAAGGTGGGCACTGCCAGGATGAAATATGGACTTTTCCAGAATGGAAAGTGGGCTCTGCCAGGTGCAAAGGTGGGCACTGCCAGTGGAACTGTGCTGGGCTCTGCCAGAATGGAAGTTGGGCTCTGCCAAGGGGAAGGAGGGCACAGCCAAGCTGGCACTGCCAGATGGGCTCTGCCAGGATGAAAGGTGAGCTTTGGCAGGATGGAAAGTGGGTTCTGCCATGGGGAAAGATGGGCACTGGCAGGTGGGCACTGCCAGGGGGGCTGTGCTGGGCTCCCCAGTGTCCCAGGGCACACCACTCGGTCCTGCCTCTCGCTGAGCCCCAGGGACCCCCAGCACGAACCTGGCCCCTCCCTGGCAGCTCTGGGCTGGTTGGATTTAAAGCCTGGCACGTTTGGAGCCTGGCTGCTCTCTGGGGGCTTTGGGAGCCGGGGGCTGCAGAGGGTGAGGGACAGAACAAGTGCTGGGATGTCGGGACCTGCTGGGCTCGGGGGGACGAGCTGGTCTGGAGCCTGCCCTGGAGAAGGAGGAAGACATTGAGCTGGACTCGAGGGACAGGAGAAGAGGAAGCAGAAACTCCACGTCTGGCTGCGCAGAATGCTCAGATCAGCTTTTTCTCCTTCAGAAATCAACCTGATTAAAAAAAAAAAAAAAACAAATAAAAAAGTGTTTTCCTGAGCTCAGATTGCAGCATGAAGCAGAGTGAATCCAGGCCTTGGGAATCTGAGTCTTCCTTTCATCCTTGTCTTTAATCTCAGCCTCTGCCCCCGTCTCTGCTCGATCCCTCTGCTTGTCCCGAGCCTGGTTTCCCCCTCCAGTTATGGGAATTTCCACATCCATCACTCCTTTTGCCAGCTCTGAGATTTTCTTCCCTGGCATTTCCCCAATGGCATCCCTGAGGGGCCCAGACCTGGGCATGGCTGTGCTGAAGTGCCCAGGCTCCTGCTGGGGACGGGGAGTGGGCAGTGGGCACCGTCCCCTCCTTGTCCTGGGTGCTGCCCAGGCTGGGTGTTCCTCGTGATTCCCTGAAAGGCACACGGATCCCGTTTTATTGGGGTGCAGGAGGCTGGCAGGAGCCCTTGGCACATGCTGGACAGGACAGTAAGGCCTGGGGGGCACACGCTGTCCTTGAGTGGCTGCAGGGGACATTGTGGCCCTGGCAGGAAGCTCCCTGGGACTTTTCCATTCCCCACACGGATCCCGAGCTCTGACGTGTCTCTTTTCCCCTTGGCAGGGCTGGAGCTCTGGATCCACTCATCTCCTGCCTTTGGGCAATGTCCAGCCCAGTCCAGCCTTTCCCCCTTTGCCCAACACCTTTTCTTTGTCACAACGGGGGATTCGGTGTCCCCCTGTCACACCCTGTGCCTCTCCCTGTTTTTCGCGGTGCTTTGGGAGCTCTGGGAAGCTCCATCCCTCTCCCAGTGTCAGCTCACTCTGCAGGGAGGTGACAAACCCGGCGGGGGCCGAGCTGAGGGGGAGTTCCATGGAAAACACATGGACAAATCCCCAGTTGTTTTCCTGGAGAGCCGATTTCCCAAGCCCACGGCCGGCTCCTCTCGTCCTGTTCCGAGCCCTCCTCGCACGCTCCCCGTCCCGCCCTGGGTGTTTCTCCCAGCACAGCCCCGCTGGAATGTCAGCTGGACATTCCGGGCTCCTGCCAGCGCCGACGCAGTCCGGCCATGCCCAAATATTCCTTCATTCCTCCGTCCGGAGCAGCAGCGAGAAGCAGCGACAAGCGCGGCAGAGGCAGCGCCCCGAGGCTCAAGCGCAGCGCCCGGAGCGCACCTGGAGCCACAGGTGAGGCTGGGCTGGGCTCAGGGCAGGGGGATGGGGGATGGACACGGCTTTGGGTGGGGAGTGTTGCTGTCAGGAAGGTTCTGGATGGGAGGAAGGGACAGGAGCAGCAGGGACAGGTGGCACCTGGGGCTGGTGGGAGTCTCTGGAGTGACCCTGGGGCTGGTGGCTCTCGGTGCTCCATGGTGCTCGTGGAATGGCTGGGAAGTGCTGGGCTGGGGAGGGAAGGGAGGGAGGTGCTGGGGAGAAAGTGGGGAGGGGGGTGAGGGAACCTGTGCCCTTTTCTGCAGAGTGTGCTGGCACTGGGTCCTGTGATGGCACTGGGTTCTGTGGTGGCACTGGGTTCTGTGGTGGTACCATGTCTATGGTGGCAATGGGTGCTGTGGTGGCACTGGGTCCACGGTGGCACCGTGTCTGTGGTTGCACCGGGTCCTGTTGTAGCACTGGGTTCATGGTGGCACCGTGTCTGTGGTGGTACTGGGAGCTGTGGTGGTACCAGGTCCGTGGTGACACTGGGTCCGTGGTGCTACCAGGTTCTGTGGTGGCACTGTGTCTGCGGTGGCACCGTGTCCGTGGTGGCACTGTGTCCGTGGTGGCACTGGGAGCTGTGGTGGTACCAGGTTCTGTGGCGGCACTGTGTCCATGGTGGCACCGTGTCCGTGGTGGCACCGTGTCCATGGTGGCACCGTGTCCGTGGTGGCACCGTGTCCGTGGCGGCACCGTGTCCATGGTGGCACCGTGTCCGTGGTGGCACCGTGTCCATGGTGGCACTGTGCCATTGTGGCACCGTGTCCATGGTGGCACCAGGTGTCCGCTCTGGGGTTCCGTGCAGGGCTGGCTGTGGCTCCAGGTGAGCTGCAGCACCAGGAGCTGAGCACACACCGATCTCAGCCACCTTCTTCTCTTCCCTTTTAATGAAGCCAAGAATCTGCAGCCCCTGCAGTGTTTGAACTCTCCCCTGGAGCTCTGGGAGGCTCCGGGAGCAGGGACGTGCCCAGGAGGGGCTGGCACTGAGGGCACAGTGCACAGAGCTCTTGTTTTTAAAGGGATTTTGCGTTTTAATTTTCCCGGGTGTTTCTGCCACAAGGACCCAGCTCAGCCTGGATGTGCATTTCCCACGAGTCCTGTTTGGGATGGGATGCAGCAGGCGCCACTCAAAGATTAGAGAATTGAATCTGCCCGGTTCCTTTTGGCACGGTTTGGAGCTGGGGATGCACAACCTGTTTAGCTGAGACTCCTTTGACATTTGGCCCTGCCTGGGAGCAGGGTGGGAGGTGACAGCGCCAGGGGAGCAGCGCTGTCCCCAGCACTGGGGCAGAACTCATCCAGCTCCAGCCCTGCCAGGAGCAGGGACAATTCCGTGGCTTCTCCAAAGCCCCATCCCTTTCCTGCAGAATGGAATATTTCTCTTCTATGCAGAGGAATATTCTCTATATCCTCCTTCCCTGATATTTCCTGGCTCACCTCCACCTGCAGCACCTGAGCTGCTTTTCCTTTAGCTGGGGGGGGGGGGGAAAACGCTGACGGATTCTGGTTTTGCTTGGAGGGTCTGGATTTATCTGTAATTCTGTGTATTTTTAGTGACGTAAATATCTCCTGGCATTTGCGATACCTTGAGCCAGTGGAAGTGATTTATTTCCAGTGTCTTGTTTCAGGGGAGCTCAGTGTTCTCAGGAACATTTATCTGCTCCGAATGGATGAGCTGCTTCCCAGCAGAAACTCCCAGAAAAGAACCTCCTTCTCCTGCTGCAAATCCTGCCCCGAGTTTTGCTTGGGAGAAAACATTCGGGAGCTTTATCAAATTGTGGATGTTTTTCCCCAATTCCCTTTGCAATGCTAAGGTTGCCAGAGCTGTCAGGGGGTTGTGGCAGCTGAGTGTGAGCCTTGGACTGTCTCAGAAGCAAGAAAGGATTTAAGTTGTGTTGTTCCCTGCTCCTAAGAGGTGTTATGACAAATCCGCTTGCTTTTGGCTTTTCTCCTTCTTTTTAAGGATGGGAGGAAGGAGGGGGGAAAGCCACACAAAACAAACCTGCGGCTCCCGAGGCAGAAAATCCTCTTTAAAAATTGCCACAACTTAACAAAATGCTTTTATTAACGCCCGGGAAAGCTCGGAGGAGCCGCTTTCTTCCCGGCTGGAAAAGGCTGGGCTCGAGGGCCTGGCTTTGTTCCTCCTGGGAAGGTAATTGTAGAGCAGGAATTCCTGCCCAAAGGGGAATAATGAGAGGGGAAAAAACTCACCCCGGGAGAGATAAAGGAGCTACTGGTGCGTTCGGAGGTGGAAATGTTTCTTCCCCGCCTTCATCCCACTCCATCCCACTGCTGCAGGTGGGAACAAAGCAGGTACCTGAGCCAGGTGCTTCTCCCTTGGGCGTTCATCCCAGCAGGGCAGGGGAGATCTGAGCACCACGGAGTTGGAAGGGACCAGAGCGATCATCGAGTCCAACTCCTGAGCTCTGGATCCTTCCTGCAGGGTGGGGAATTTGCTCTGTGCTGGATCCAGCTCCGGGTCGGTGCTGGCTCCAAGGAAAGCCCTGCCCGCCCTGGGAAGCTCCAGGTGCCTCCAGGAGGTGCCACCACCCCTCTGCTGTGTCCTGGCTCCTGCACGGGGAGGGTGACAGCGCTGCCCTGGTCACATCTGTCCCGTGCGGCTGACAGGGGTGGAGTTCTCACCTGGCAGCACATCCTGGAGGCTTTCCTGGCAGAAACTGGATCTTGCAAAGGCATCACTGTCCCCTGCACTGGGGTTCTGCTGGCAAAAACAGGGTGCAAAGGTTGTGTTGAAGCTGGAGCAATCAGGAGAAAGGGCCTGTGCTGCCATGGACCCGTCCTCAAATGATGATTTTAATAATTTTTTCCCATCCCTGTGAGTCTGGGATGTGGAGAGTCCATCTCTGGTGTGAAGCCAGGCTGCTCCAGCACCATCAGCTCCTTTTTGTTGTCCTTGGTGCCTCTGGGATTCAGTTCCTGATGTCCCAGAGCCATCCTTGGGTTTCCTGTGAGGAATGGGGGAAGGAGCAGTTGTTGGTGGGTGCTGCTGCTGGGGATGCTCCATGATGGCTCCGTGATTTTCCTACATTGCTGCTTTAGAGCCAAGACCTGTTGCTGTCAGAATCAGGGAGGAATTTCTGGAATCAGGCATGGATCCATTGCTGGGTGTCAACCCTGTGGGTGCTGCTGTGACACATCCACATCCCCCTGTGTGTGTGTCAGCCTGGGAGGGAAATGCTGCTGCTGCTGCCCCGGTGTTAAATGACAGGGAATTTCCCTAACTGAGCTTTCTTTGGAAGAATTGCTGCTCACCCCACCCGCAGTGTTGTAGGGCAAGGGGGTGCCTGGAGGCTTTCAGGGGCTTTATAACAACGCAGGGAATGTCCTGGGGAAGGCCTGGGACCACCCTACCATGGCCTGTGGGACAAACACAGCATCACAGCATCAGTGCAGTGTGTTAATAATCTGTCCAAGGAATCCCTGATCCTGCTGCCTTGATGTCACTGCCTTAACTCACAGTTCTTCTTGATCCC